ATACCAACCACCTTCTCTTATAGTTTTACCCTTACATCTTACCATTTCCATTAATGGAGTCACCTCCTGGTTTCAATTTTAAGAATCCACTCTCTCACAACTGATACCTTTCTTTCCAGCTTACTTACTCTACTATTACCCTCCAACAAGTATTTGACACTTTAAGATGACCAGTCTATTATCCCTACTAATTTTTTATATCCCACCTTTTTGTCCTTCCTTCTTTTTTATACAGAACCTAGTTAATATCTGACCAAAATAAGCATTCATTTAAATAACCTTCAAATTTTATTTCTGTGACTTGAAAAACCCTATCATTTAACTAAAGCAGGATCCCAACAACTGAATGTGACTAAAGTAAAACACAGCTGTGTTAATTAATTTCACCATGGGTGGATCATGTTTTGGTGGGCCCTAAAGGACAAGAAGATGGGATATAAATAATTAGTAGAGCCCTAAGTGTTATAGAATGTGAGATCTCTTCATGAAGAATACAAGGTTATGAATATAGAATTCCCACAACCAATTCAATGCCACTTGACAAGGATAAATTATGTCAGAAAGAGAAAATAGTCTTAATAAATTTTGGTTAAAATATCTTATTTTTACAAACTCTATAAAAAATGTATGACCATTTGAAAACACTGTTAGAGACACTCAAAAGACTTTACAAGGGGTTGGGGTCAGTTAGAGGCCCTCATATTTAAGCTTCATTAGTACTGCAGTAAATTTACTGCTGAGTAGAACTTAAATTCTATGACTATAAATCTCAAGTCACATTCACCACTACCAAAAAATTTTTAGACAATTCAGTTTTTCTGAGAACTATTTCACATCTTATCACTCTTCATTCCTAATACCCACATCATCCTCATTTTAAAGCTAATAATCTTCCCAAATAATTAATAGAGGACATAGAAGCGATCAAATGAAAATTACCTCTTTCTCTTGCTAGCCTATTTGCGTCTGTCTTTACATACTCTGTGTTCCTCTCTATTAACATGTAATAACGGAAGCAGCTCTTACATAGGAGTTCCCATCACCCACACACTTGCCAAATGGATGCCACTTACTCTTTTTTGAAGAAGATTTTATTTATTTATTTGAGAGAGAGTGAAAGAGCATGGGGGGGTGCTGCAGAGGGAGAGGGAGAAGTGATCCCAAGACCTTGACATCATGACCTGAGCCAAAAGGCAGACACTTAACCAACTGAGACACCCAGGCACCCCTGGATGCCATTTACTCTTACACATTTAGGGGCTTTGCAGCTACAATTATCTCCTCTTTCCCATGAATTATCATTATTTCCCTCTACTTTAATAGCATATGAACATTGCATAATATTGCTTATCTTAGAAAAGAAGAAAACACACGATAAAATAGAGCCCTACCTTCCAGCTCTGCCCTCCTATTCTTCATAGCAAATCTTAAGTGCACATTCCTGTTTCCATGAACTCACATTCCGTTTTCTATTCAATCCATTCATACAAGGATTATCTAAGTATCATAGTCTAGATCCAAAGTCATTTTTTCTTATCAATTTAAAAGTATTTTCATGCTTTCTTTTATTTAGTTTTTAAAAAATTATATATATACTTAAAGTTTACATCATTTGGTTTTTACCTTCCGAGTTACAGAAATTCCTTATATATTTTGGATATTAACGTCTTATCACATTAGTGGTTATCACATAAATGGTCTGAAATAGATTTTCTCTCATTAAGTAGGTTGGCTTTTCAAATTATTGAGAGTTTTTGTTTTGTTTTGTTTGCTGTACAGAAGCCTTTTAACTTAACATAGTCCCACTTGATTTTTTACTTTGTTTCCTGTGCTTTTGGTGTCATGTGTAAAAAAAAAAAAAAAAAAAAATGCCAAGCCAGTGTCAAGGAGAATCTTCCCTATATTTCTTCTGGGAGTTTTATAGTTTTAGTTCTTGTATTTAAGTCCTTAATCCATTTCAATTTAATTTTGTAAGTGGTGTAAGATAGGGGTCCAGCCAATTTAATTCTTTTGCATGTGGCTGTCCAGTTTTCCTAACACCATTTGTTGAAGAGATGATTTTTTCCCCCATGTGTGTTGTTGACATCCTTGTCAAAAGTTTTTTTCTGGGCTCTTCATTCTGTTTTATTTGTATATGTGTCTGTTTTTTATGCCAGTATCATACTGCTTTGAATACTATGGCTTTATAATATTGTTTGAAATAAGGAAATGTGATACCTCCAGCTTTGTTCTTCTTTTTCCAGATTGCTTTGACTATTTGGGGTCTTTCGTGGCTTTGTGCAAACGTTAGGATTTTTTTTTCTATATCTGTGAAAAATGCCACTGGAATTTTAATAGAGATTCATTGAATCTCTAGTTTGCTTTGGGTAGTATAGACATTTTGACATTATTAAATATCCCAATCCATAAACACAGGATATCTTTCCATATCTTTGTCTTCCTCAGTTTCTTTCATCAGTGTCTTATGTACAATGTCAGTTTGTAGATCTTTCATATCCTTAGTTAAATTTTATCCTACATATTTTATTATTTTTTGATGCCATTGTAAATGAGATTGTTTCACTTTTTTCAGATAGTTCATTGTTTATATATAGAAATGCAACAGATTTTTGTATATTGATTTTGTATTCTACAACTTTACTGAATTTATGTATTAGTTCTAACAGCTTTTTGGTGGAGTTTTTTAGGGTTCACTTTATATAAGATCATGTCATCTGCAAACAGAAAATTTTAACTCTTCCTTTCTAATTTGGATACATTTTACTTCTTTTTCTTGCTTAAATACTCTAAGACTTCCAGTACCGTGTTGAAAAAGATACGATAAGAGTGGGCACCTTTGGCTTGTTCCTGATCTTAGAGGAAAAACCTTCAGCTTTTTACACTGAGTGTGATGTTAACTGTAGGCTTGTCATACGTGGCCTTTATTATGTTGAAATACATTACCTCTATATACAGTATTTTGAGAGTTTTTGTCATAAATGGATGTTGAATTTTGTCAAATTCTTTTCTTCTTCTATTGACCTGGTCATATTTTTATCCTTAATTCCACTAAAGTGGTGTATCACATTTACTGATTTGCATATTTGAACCATCCTAGCATCCCAGAGATAAAGCCCACTTGATAATGATGTAAAATCCTATTAATTCGTTGTTGAATTCAGATTCCTAGGGTTTTGTTGAAGATTTTTGCATCTATATTGATCAGGGATATTGGCCTGTAATTTTCTTTTCTTGTAATCTCCTTGTCTGGCTTTGGTATCAAGGTAGTGCTGGCCTCATAGATTGAGTTTGGAAGCTTTCCCTCCTCTTAAATTTTTTAGAAGAGTTTGAGAACAATAGGCATTAATTCCTCTTTAAATGTTTGGTAGAATTCACCAGTAAAGCCGTCAGGTTGGGTCTTTTTTTAATTAGGAGTTTTTGATTACTGGTTCAGTTTTCTTATTCATCGGTGATCTGTTCAGATTGTCTATTTTTTCATGATTCAGTCTTGGTAGATTGTGTGTTTCTAGGAATGTATTTCTTCTGGGGTATCCAGTTGGTTAGCATACAATTGTTCATAATAGTAGTTTCTTTGATCATTTATATTTCTATGTTACCAGTTGTAATGTAGCCCTTTCATTTCTGATTTTATTTGAGTTTTCTTTTTCTCTCTCTCTTTTTAATGTAGTTAAAGGTTTGTCAGTTTTTACATATTTTTTAAAAACATATTTTTTTGTTGGTGATCTTTTCTATAGCTTTTGGTTTATTGCACTTGTTTCTGCTCTGTTATCATTTCTTTTCTTCTAACTTTGGGCTTAGTTTGTTCTTACTTTTCTAGTTCTTTGAGATGTAAAGTTAGGTGGTTTGAGATCTGTCTTTTTTTTTTTTTTTAATGTAGGCACTTATTATCAATTTCCCTTTTAGAACTGCTTTTTGTATGTTGTGTTTCCATTTTTTTTTTTTTTTTCATTTTTTCTTTACCCATTGGTTGAGTTCTTGGTCTCTGGGTCTTTTCTTCCCAATGCTGTAGCTTTCTATAAACCTATAGCCTTCATCAGTAAGTTGGTTCTTTCACAAACAAGTACAACTGATAGAAACCCCTGCTGTGATGTAGTGAACCTTGCACAGGTTCACATACTACACATACCTTCAGCTAGTTTCTGGCTGGTTCTCCTCCACTTTTATTTTGCTTTCCAGTTTTATTTCTATTCCATAGAGATGGTTACCTCATGTGAATGTAGCTATGTCTTATTTTTATTTTCTTCTTATCTTGTATGCCTCAATGGTATGTATCTGGAAAAAGGTGGTATCCAATCTAATGTCTTACTTTTTCCCTCTATTAACTCTTTCTCCTTAGCTATTGGTTTTCTTTTTGGTTTTTTGTTTGTTTGTTTTTTAAAGATTTTATTTATGTATCTGAGAAAGAAAGCACGAATGGCGGGGAGGAGCAGAGGGAGAGGGAGAAGCAGACTCCCCGCTGAGCAGAGAGCCCCAAGATAGGGCTTGATCCCAGGACCCTGAGTTCATGACCTGAGCCAAAGGCAGATGCTTAACCAACTGAGCCACCCAGGCACCCCTGGTTTTCTTTTTGAAAGTTTTGTTTTACTTACTAGTTTTCTCTTGTTAAGTTTTGTTTCTCTTTTTCATGGACTGCATTTTTCTCCTATTTGATTATTCTTAATAGCAATGTTATACAGGATTAGAAGGGATGGATTGATATAGAAGGAATGAATGCTCTGAAAGCTGAGCATTTGAGGTCTCCAAGCCTTTTTTATTGATATCCTTCTGAGGTGGAGCACAGCTTGACAATTAAGAGTAGCCAACAGGAAAAGCAGGAAAATAAATAGAATTTTGGGTCATATTCTTTGTATTCAAGTTTTAGTTAAGTATCTGGTTATTTTATATTTTTGGCAACATTTAAAACATGACCTTGTTCCTTTTTTACTATTATTAAATGTATTTGCCTCAATATATAGTCTTTTGAAATAATCATATCAATCTTTTTGTTTTGTTTTTTACAGTATAAAGAAAAAAGCAGAGTTTGAGTCTGAAATCCAATCTTTGATGAAACTAAGGTCAAAAAATGATGAATTTCTTAAACAATTATACAGGGAAGCTTATCAGCTTGGTGCTGTTTTCCACCTAACCAAATTTAAAACAGAGGAATTAGAAGAGAAAATAGCAGAAGTGAGAAGAAAATTCAAGGTTTGTATCTCTGTGTTCTGCTTAGTTGTAAAAAATGGTAATTAACCTCAGTTTTATTGATTTGTTGATGATAGTTTGATTTTAATTTAAGTTATAATAGCCTTTTAAAATAATTACTTCTTCTAATAAATCTGAATAAAATCATTTCTCTTCAGCTGCCCAGCATGAATAGAAGAGGAATGGGGCTCAGTGTAGCTAATCAACATTTAACGTCTGCCTTTTGGTGTTACTGACCATAAACTACCTGGATCACCAGAAGAATGGTGCTTGGTTTAAACTCATCCTGTGTATCTAATGTATAATAATAGTTCCAGCCTATGGTAGGAAGAAGGGTTGCTGGGAAGTGCCCTTGCACCTTACTAATAGAAGAAAAGGGATTACCTACATCAGGCCTGCAAGTTACTGGATTCCTGAGCACCAAGCAATGCTTAGTAGACCACAGTGTTTCCACAGAAACAACTGCTCGTAGGCCTCAAATCTATTCCTAAGTGAGAAACATGATGAATAGCCACCCCCTGTCATTTGGTATAGACGCTAGCAAAGTCAACTCCATTTTACCACACATAAAGGACCACTTTAACAGGCTACTTCTGTCCATCACACATCATATTCACACTCCTCCCATCTTTAGCATTTACTTATTGAATACTTATTATCATACAATTATTTGTAAAATTCAGAATCTGTGTTCTGTGTTCAGTGAAGACTTTCTCTTGTGCTTTCTAAATTTAGGACACTTAGATTGTCTTCCAATAAATGTTTCTATACCTGAGAGACTAGGATTTTGTTCCCACATTGAATCCAGCTGTTCGATGGACTTGTGTATTTTACCTCTATCCCTTCCCATGGATTACTCAATGGGTTTTTTATGCCATATATGTTCCAAAATTAGTATGATAGAAACCATATGTATAGTAAAAATTAACCTCAAAGTTATTTCATTTTTTAATTTTTTTTTTTTTAAGATTTTATTTATTTGACAGAGAGAGAGACAATGAGAGAGGGAATACAAGCAGGGGGAGTGGGAGAGGGAGAAGTAGGCTTCCTGCCGAACAGGGAGCCCGATGGGGGGCTCGATCCCAGGACCCTGGGATCATGACCCGAGCCGAAGGCAGATGGTTAACGACTGAGCCACCCAGGCACCCCCGCCTCAAAGTTATTTTAAAAATATAAAGCATGTGATTATACATATGGTTTAGCATATATAATAACAGTAGATGTTGTTTTATAATTTTCTTTAATTTTTCGTTAGTCTGTGTTTCTCAATGGCCAATAATTAATTTTTTTTTCCACTGAGAATATCAGTGAAGACATCAACCCCTGATTTGGTCACTTAACAATGTCTCTTAATTTTTTCAATTGACAAGAAACCTTTGTTCACATATTTATCTCATACCTGTCACAACCTGCCTTCAGTTCTTCAGCTATATGGCTTCACTAGCCCAAGTCACTCATCTATTAAGAAGGGTGTTATATTGAATTGTTTATTTTTTTCCTAAGTTTTCCTGATGCCATAAAATACAGTTTATAGGTTGAGTGCAAATTTGATGTAACTCCACTGTTCTTGCTTTACCAACCTAAGGCAAAGTGTAAGTGTCCCCCTGGTTTTATTCAAGCAAAATTGAAGAAAGTATTAATCAGGTCCTTTCCCTACCCTTTAGTAGCTAAGACACAGAAAGAAGCAACAGAAAGAAATTACGCATTTTAGGAAGTAATTCCCCATTACTAAACACTTCCACTAATCTCTGAGCTGAATATATAGGGCATTAATTTTCTTTGATGTACACATGTGTATCTGTGTCAGAGTGGTAATGAATTAAAAATAAATTTCTAGAGAGTCCTTAGGTAATTCAGGTTTGGAGTAATTCAGGTTTGTAGTTTTGCCTTTGTAATGACCCCACTGTCTCTCATTGACTAAGCAATAAAAATCTATTTAATTTTCTGAGTCTTGGCATCATGTTTTTCTTGCAGGTAACTTTGCATATTTGTTGATTCTGCCCTTAATTCATGTCTTCTAGAAATTATAGCATTATCACATCTGAGCTAGCTTTGAGAAATAACATTTTGAAACCTTAGAGGTAAAATTTCTGAGTTATGTTTCCTCAAATTAATGTACCTGTACAATGCTCAGTAAGACTTAGGCAGTCTTAGACTAGAAGCAACCTTGAACAATCAAGATATTTGGCAGTTTCTGGAATTTTCCAGCTATTACAGATAATTTGTCCCAATTTTTTCATACCTTCAATCCCGATAACTCACCTATTCAGAAAAGACACGGTTAGCTAAGTCCCAGGATAAAATTATCCACAGGGATAGGAGATAAGTCAATAAAAGGGTAGTATGTATTCAATTATGGTATTGATGGAATGAACAGAAAATCATTCAGTGTTGTCTGAAGAATGTAATATCATAACAAGAAAAATCTTGAAAGCTCATCAGATATTAAATACTTCTCAACGTTTAAATAGAAGGTTTTTGTGCAAGCTGCAGGAATTTGGAGGGTTTTTTGAACATACTAGAATTTTGGTGGAAAAGAAGAACATCAGGCCACTCTGGTTCTAGGTTAAAAATCATAGTACTAGAACTAAGTGGAAACTTAGTAGAAAAGAAGAAAGGAAGTAGAAAGGAAGACAGTTTTCTGCAAGCCTACTGTAGGCTACTCTATACATGTTAATTCACTGTTCATAATACTGTGGTGTTATTAGTTTGTTCATTTTGGGGTGAAATGATTTGCCCAAAGTAGCATAGTTTTTAGGTAGCTGTGTAGAATTTGGGGACAAGGTTTTCTGATGCTGGAGTTGATCTAAACTAGTCAGACACTAAGGAGATATATACTCCAACCAAAAAAGATTTATTCAGCCTCAGAATTTCAAAATAACCATATTAGGATCACCTTTTAGACTTTATTTTTTAGTATTAGGGTCCCCACAAAATTGAGAGAAGATACAGAGATTCCCCATATACCCCTGACCCCCACACATGCATGTAACCTCCGCCATTGTGAACATCCCCCACCAGAGTGGGACATTTGTTACCAAGGATTAACCTATATTGGATAATGGTAATTACCTAAAATTTATGGTTTACATCACAGTTCACTCTTGGTGGTGGTGTGTACATGCCTAGATTTTGAACAAATATATAACAATATGTATCCATCATAATAGTATCATACAGAGTATTTTCACTGCCCTAAAAGTCCTTGGTGCTCTACCTGTTCATCCCTTCTCCCTCTGATGGCAACTATGGCAACCACTGGCATTTTACTGTCTCCATAGTTTTGCCTTTTCCAAAATATCATATCGTTGGAATAATATAGTATGTAGCCTTGTCAGATTAGATTGTTTCACTTAACTAATATGCATTCAAGATTCCTTCATGTCTTTTCATGGCTTGATAGCTCATTTCTTTTTAGCACTAAATATTCTATATCTGGATTGCCATAGTTTATGTATTCACCTATTGAAGAGCACCTTGGTTTCTTCCAAGTTTTGGCAGTTATAAATAAAGCCACTATAAGTATCCATATACAGGTTTTTATGCGGACATAAATTTTCATCTCCTTTGGGTATGAGTGAAGGAACATGGTTGCTGGATCTTAGTATATATTTAGTTTTATAAGAAACTGCCAAAGTGTCTTACAAAGTTACTGTACCATTTTGCATTCCTACCAGCAATGCATAAATCCTTACCAAGAGTTGATGTTGTCAGTGATCAGGATTTTGGCCATTGTAAGCCATGTAGTGATACTTCATTGTTGTTTTTTAATTTACATTCCCCTGATGACAGATGATGTATAGCATCTTTTCATATGCTTATTTGCCATTGTATATCTTATTTGGTGAGTTGCATGTTAAGTTCATTACCCACCCCCCTTTAAAGTACTCTCTACACCCAACATGGGGCTTGAACTCACAGCCCCCAAATCAAGAGTCCATGTTCTACTGACTGAGCTGGCTAGGTGCCCCAACATCTTTGACCCCCTTTTTAACGTATTGTTTTCTTACTGTTGAGTTTTCAGAGTACTTTGTATATTTTGGATAACAGGTCTTTGTCATATTTGTCTTTTGCAAGTATTTACTCCCAGTTTGTGGTTTATCTTCTCATTCTCTTGACTGTGGCTTTCATAGAGCTAAAGGTTTTAATTTTAATGAACCCAGCTTATCAATTATTTTTTTTTCACAGATCGTACCTTTGGTGGTGTATCTAAAATGTTATTGCCGTACCCAAGATCATCCAGGTTTTCTTTTGTTATCTTCTAGGAGTTTTACAGTTTGTTTTTTTTTTTTTTTGATGTACATGTAGGTTTATGATCCATTTTGAGTTAATATTTGTGAAAGGTATAAAGTACATCTAGCTTCATTTCTTTTTGCATGTGGGGATGTCTGGTTGTTCTGGCATCATTTGTTGGAAATATTGTCTTTGCTCCACTGTGTTGTCATTGCTTTCTTGTCAAAGATCAATTGATTGTATTTCTGTGGATCTATTTGTCTATTCTTTTACCAGTGCTGCACTGTCTTGAATAATGTAGCTTTATAGTATGTTTTCATGTTAAATGTGTTTATGCCTCTTCCTTTTTTCTTTGTCAATATTGTGTTGGCTATTCTGGGTCTTTTGCCTCTCCTTATAAATTTTAGAATCACTTTGTCAATAGCCACATAATAACTTGCTAGGATATTGGTAGTGATTGAATTCAGTCTACACATTGTGTTAGAATGAACTGACTTCTTGACAATATTGAGTCTTCCTATTGTTAACATAGAATATCTCAACATTTATCTAGTTTTTTTTATTTCATTCATCAGAGTTTTAGAGTTTTCCTTATATAGATCTTATGCATATTTTATTAGATTTAGAGTTAATTATTTCATTTTGGGGGGAACTGATATGAATAATCATTGTTTTTAATTTATAATTTTACTTGTTCATTGCTAGCATATAGGAAAACAATGGAAGATTGTTTATTCACATTGTGTCCTGCACCTGTACATAATTGCTTA